CCCGCGTGGCCTTGACCCTTTTTGCCCTGGATGATCTAGCCCTAAGGCTTCTGATCGACTTGCGTGGCCTTGAACATTTTCGCCCCGGACGATCTAGCCCTAAGGCTTCTGATCGACCTGCGTTCCCCTGAACATTTTTCCCCATACGATCTAGCCCTAAGGCTTCTGATCGACCCGCGTGGCCTTGAACCTTTTTGCCTCGGACGATCTAGCCCTAAGGCTTCTGATCGACCCGCGTGGCCTTGAACATTTTTGCCCCGGAAAGATCTTGCCCTAAGGCTTCTGATCGACCCACGTGGCCTTGTACCTTTTTGCCCCGAACGATCTAGCCCTAAAGCTTCTGATCGACCTACGTGGCCTTAAACATTTTTTGTCTTGGACGATCTAGCTTTAAGGCTTATGATCGACCCGCGTGGCCTTGAACCTTTTTGCCCCAGACGATCTAGCCCTAAGGCTTCTGATTGGCCCGTGCGGCCTTGAACCTTTTTTCCTGGGACGATCTAACCCTAAGGCTTCTGATCGGCCCGCATGTGATGATCTAGCCCTAAGGCGTATGATCAGTCTGCGTGGCCTTGAACATTTTTGCCCCGGATGATCTAGCCCTAAAGCTTCTGATCGACCCGCGTGGCCTTGAATATTTTTGCCCCGAACGATCTAGCCCTAAGCCTTCTGATCGACCCTCATGGCCTTGAACCTTTTTGCCCCGGATGATCTAGCCCTAAGGCTTCTGATCAACCCGCGTGGCCTTGAACATTTTCGCCCCGGACGATCTAGCCCTAAGGCTTCTGATCGACCTGCGTTCCCCTGAACATTTTTCCCCATACGATCTAGCCCTAAGGCTTCTGATCGACCCGCATAACCTTGAACCTTTTTGCCCCGGACGATCTAACCCTAAGGCTTCTGATCGGCCCGCGCGGCCTTGAACCTTTTTGCCCCAGATGATCTAGCCCTAAGACTTCAGATTGACCTGTGTGGCCTTTATCATTAAAAAAATTTCTCAACCGTAATAACAATTCTTGTTTCAAACATAATACGACATTTCATTAAGCACGTTTTTGCCAATATTGCCGCACATCAAAACGTTCATGGTTACAATATATTCACCGGGACAAGTACCTCGTGCTAACAAAGGGTATATACATCTATTACTTTTCCCTAACTTTACTTAAACAAAATACCACTTAAGGTGAATAACGTTTCATGCCCTGGGCAGCACCTTGTCATAACTGTCTTCGAGCTCGTATGCTCTTCCTTTCAAAACCCGTAAGGACTTTTAACGACCCTTCCAACACTTGCTCCATCTTCCCGACCTTCTTCCAAGCGCCCGCCCTCTCGACCTCCTTTCCAATCGTCGGATCGAAGGACTCGCGAATCTTGTCTCTTTCCCCTTCTTAGTGTCTTGCACGAGAAAATCTACATGTGCTTCCTCCATGTTCATGTATTTACTTCCCCTCTCTAACAATTCATCGTAACTTTGAGCTGGCCTTTTGGATAGGGAGTCTCGAAAGGGCCCAGATCGTAGCCCCCGGGTCAATCCCCCGGCTTTGATTATTTCGTAGTTGTAGGTACTTCAACACACGCACGCGTGTAACGGGCTATGTAGGCTCGCAATGACTCTCTATCCTCTGCTGCACATTTATCAGAGATAAGTACGTTTTTCTCACACTTTCTAGCGCTTGCGAACTAGTTGGTGAACAATGAGCTGAAGCCTGGAAAGTCTTTGACGACGCCCGGTGCTAGCTGATGGAACCAATCTTGGGCAGCACACTTCAACGTGGTCAGGAAAGCTCGACAATACACTGGGTCGTTGTACCTGTGTAACATTGCTATGTTTTCAAAACTCCTAAGATGACGAGTTGGATCCGTAGAGCCACCATATGACAGGGTAAGTTCTCGGAACCCTTGTAGCAGGTCTGCGCCCAACACTTCATCTACGAACGGGTGACCCGCATGGCAGGGACCTCAGCGCCCTTCGACCTTCTCCTGAAGCTCATGCAACTGCTTCGCCATGCACGCTATGATAGGGTCTCTTGCGGGTTGTGATGGGACTCCTGAAGAGTGGATTGATTGTTCAAGCTCGTGTTCATGTCC